CACAAACATACTGACAAGACTTTGGTCTGTTTTAGACCATAATATATCCATTCTCAGCTGGGTGAAGTGAGGAAAATTTGGGTTAAGTGTCTTTCCAAAAACCACAATGTTGAGCAGTCGGGCACTTGGACTACCAACAAAACCAATCTATAATGTACACATTTTGGTCCTAGACAGTTCTTTGACTTAAAATATATACCTAATCCTTTAATCCTTTTAACCCTTTTATTCAGAGCTCTCTCTTAATAATATTACTTTGTTGGCCTGTATACACACTTACCAAAAGGGTCCATTTGTTTACTGGAATAAAATGACACTAATTTCAGATCTTATTACAATCACTTTTAAAAAAGATGTTAAATCTTTTGATAATTCTGATGTTGAACATATGAAAGATTCCAATCAAAGTATTAAATTTGATTCCCTACAATTACTTGACCTTCAAAGAATGAACAGATCTATAATATATTTTTTAAAAATTTATGTGAGCCGGTCTGAGGAAATCAAGAACTTGCCGCCTCTGGGACATTTTGAGTTTTTGTGCTTTTCTGAAAGCTGGAATCTTCCTGAATATTATATACTTAAAATTTTTCAATTTTCCTTCCTAGAAGCTGTTGCATTTTGAAGTAACAAATGTGAAAAAGTAAGAACTGAAAAAAAATGGGTTCAAAGTCCCACTATTTCACTATTTACTTCATGTTAATATCTGAATGCAAATGGAAAATATATTGAGAAAAAATATTTTAAAGTGGTTTTTACAAGAGACAGCTGTTGAATTATATTCTAAAATGGTTGGAGAATCCCCTGCAGTGGTATGTGTATCTTAAAAAAATCAACTAATATTGACCTCATTGATTATTTTTGCCGATATCTCCGTTCAAGGTTCACAACAAGTTCCTCATTTCTACAGACCGGCACACATATGTTCAAGGCATACAGCATAGTCAATACATACAATTACACTCCCACAGTGGAACAAGATAGTCATTATAAATTATAAGCATTTTCCAAAAGGTAGGGAAGTTAGTGTTAAAAGATGGCAGTACAATCAATGTTACATCAGCCTCAAAAGTGTAACAGGAGCAAACTCACACTGGGTTTTTTTTTTGTTCCAGGAAGCTGAAAATTAATAATATATATTATGTATATGGACATTACCCTTCAATCCAGCATAGGTAGCAGCAGTCTTCTTTTTTTCTTTTTATATGGCGAATATGGTACACATGTACCAATAATAAGAATCAAGACTCACAAAATAAAATATTTAAAAATTTAATGTAGCTATGGGGACATCCTTGTCGAGAAGAAAGGGGTACAAGACTAGCAGCTGTGAAGCCCTGACTTAAAACTTGTATTTTTACTATATACTATGCCCTGCCAATAGGATAGGTCCTTTAGAATTTTTTTATTTTTGAGTTCATCTTGCCACTGACAGAGATAGACATGCCTTTAACTGCGGAAAAACACTGTTTCTCTGAGAACTGATCAGGTGAATAGGAACAATCAAGCCTGCAATGGGAGCTACATGTATTGTGACATTCATGTGAGTCTTCATACAGGAGGGGGTACATGAGCATAAATAAAAACACTTAAACAATATTTGTCTCAGAAAAGGTAAACTTGTCTCCAGAAGGTACAAGTACAAACCATCCCAGCAACTAGTTTACACAATTATCACAGTCCCGAACAAAACAAAGAAGATAAGCATCATTAGCAAGAGATAAAATTTTCTTGAATAGATACCAGTATATTACAACATTCTTTATTTTCTCTTTTGACCCTCCTGCACAATGTACTCAATTTCAGAAAGATGCTTCCTATATTCTCTGAAATATGGTTCTTGGATTTGACGAAAGCAAAATGTGCAGAAGCTTAGAAAAATGGGCTAATGTTACCAGCACTGTGTCTTGACAGAATGATGAATTTCTTCTAATATGTTAAGAACAAAAAGAGGTGGAATACCAAAATCATATAAAAATTTTGACAATTACCTGTACAAATTACTGCCTCCCACTTCTCCCTTGCACTTTTTATATTGTAATGACACAGATGAAGACATATTTCTGTCTAAAACAACCACTTTTCTCCTCAATCACATGTCTTTGTGACACTTTGTCAATTTTGACAATAAATGGCTCAGGGTTAAAAAAAAGTTATCTCTACATTAATAATGAATTAATATTGCTTTAACATTTTATGTCCCAAATATCACACAGAGAAAACAAGACATAAACTCACACAATATTCATGATCAATGATAAAAAAAAAAGCAAACAAACCCTTGAATAGACTTTCGTTTAACTACCCGGTAAAACAGATTAAAGACAGCACCGTAAAAAATAGCTGGAAGTGCAGTACATGAGTATTGTCAGCTCAGAAGTCTGTGATATCTTACAGTCACCCATATTCTCGAGTATAGGACTTAAAACAACTACTCAGTGGATGTTGTCAATAAACTAAAGTAATACAATGTCAGAAAGTGCAATCTTACAGGAAATGTAGCACCTCAATATAATATATCTCTTTATGTGATTTAGAGTCTAATCCCGTAATTCCAATGATGTGTAAGTCACTCTGCCACACTGAACTGTTTTCGAGTTATTCAAAACTTTGATAATTTAAATCTACACCACTAAAAAAACAGCATGGCTCTCATCCTCACAGAATGTCCAACAACTGTCTCTATTACATTAATATTATTTTGCAAATGTATAGAGTATTTTTACTATTGCTACTGAAGTATTTAATCAGAATTTGCACACAGGTTCTGTCAAGTCATACTTCAGCATATTCCAAGAACTGTCTCTCTTTTGAAATACTTTTTTCACGTATTTTGTACATGACCACTTTGAGTTTGAGGGTAATCACAGCTACAAATAAAAAGATCACCAGCAAGACTTCTTGCCACCTGTATTTCTAGCCAGTCGTACCGATGGTAGAACCAAATGAAAAAACAAAAGCAAAAAAAGAAAAGAAAATCACCAATATATTTACATTATTGCAATTTCCATTTTTTTTTTTTTGCCACAGTAAAAGACAAACGGCACTACATGATATGGCATAAGAACAAAAACTGTCCAGTAGAGAGCCATTCAAACTGAATCCTTGCATTCATTTTTTTCTGATTCAAAAAGGTAAACTAGGAAGTAATTTCACGTTATCTCTTGAAATAAGCTGAAATCATGAAATCAACACTGTCTCACCGGTTCTTACAGCTGGCATGTATTTCCAAAAAAGAAAGTCGAAAAATGTGTGATCAATTACGTTCACACAAAAGCATGAATTTTAAACAACAGAGAACAAGTTTACACATTTATTTGCAATATATAATAAATGGGGACTGAGATCGTGTTGCAGAGACCACGGTTGCAAAAGATTTTATTTTCTTTTGTTAAAAGCTTTAGTAGGATTCATGCCTCAAACAGTAGCCTCTTTAATGAACAACACTGAGCAGCACAAAGTTAGGGGAAACAATACAAATTTACATTCATAAATGTGCAAAATTGTTGGCCATGGAAAAGCTGAAATTTGTCGAACAGTGAAAAGTAAAATCGTCTCAATGTTTATACGAATGATATTCATCACCTTCACTAACAGTTAGTTTTCTGTAGTAACTGTATAACTTGTTTATGGAGAAAAAAAAATGAGCTTCAAATCTGGAATGCAGAAAGGATCTGTATAAAACAATGTTGGCAAATAATGTTCTTTGTCAGAGCAGCAATAGGAGCATTTCACAGTTTTTAAAAATAAAACTTTATAGCCCCCTACCCCAAGTCAAAATCTTACAAACAATGAAAATGTGCCCGCACAAATTAACAAAATATATATTTTAGTAGAGGTTTTACGGCGCTCGCAACTGCATAAGGTCATATGAGTGCCAAGGGGTGGATGTCAACAGAGAAGTCCTTACAGGGAATCAGACTTACTCTGATCACCTCTCTAGCTTCAACAGCACAAAGTCTGCTTCTACTATCCAGGCACCCCGGAAATAGCGGGTCACAAAAGTGCGACAAACATACAAAAGAAGTAGAGGAAAAACGACTATAGTAAGGATTAAGAAAGAAAAAGCAGCAGTTCCCTGTTGCAGTTCAGGCACAGTTATGAGCATGACATCGATGAATCAGCCCATTTACAATTCTACGGTGCATAAGAACAGGTTGATGTCCCCCCTTTGGGAATGGCCTAAAGACACTTCAGTCAGTAGCACCTGGGGTCGCAAAATATATGTTGTGGCTCTCGTGACATTGGAGATGTTTAAACGTAGTAGTAACTTAACATTACCTCCACTCTCTCTCTTTGCTCTCTTGTGTTTTTCATTAGAAACTGAACAACACTTGAAACTTAGACAATTTCGTTTCACATTTCTTTCCGACAGTGCCCAGCTTCATAACAGAAATCATCTGAGAGATGCATCAACTTTTTTTAAAAATACGCGCCTCAGAGTGATCGCATACAATGAACTATAGCTAAAGGTTAGAAAAGCATAACTTAGGCAAAAAGAGGTTGCAGAACCCATTTTTTTCTATTTTCGTTACCAGTACACTAATCCACCATAGCATTGACTTTTCTGAATCACTAACTAGTAACATGACATTGTAATTTCAAGGAATGTTAAGTATTGAGTACTTCCAAATTAGCAGACAACAATAATTTCTAGGAATTAAATCTTCTCCTTCACCATAACTTTCAACAGCATGACACAGATGTGTATTGTGAATAAGCTGAAACCTTTATTTGAAGGCTGAGTATTACTCTCCATTGCAGCAAAGTGCATCAAATGGATTTTATTGAAGAAAAAAACAATAACAGCTAATGGCAACATTACCTGGAACAGAATATAATATACTTAGCAGCACTAACCCTCTATTGTAACTTGAACTTTATTTCTGAGGCTTTATTTGGATTCTAATTCAAGGTTTACATCAGCAAAGTGGGGTAAAATCCATTAACTTACTTTAGATTTAATTTAATGGAAAACACTTTAAGTTTGAGGAAATTTATTTTACTAAGTTAAGTTTACTTTTTCTTTCTTCTTTTTTGTTTGTTTGTTTGTTGCTGTTGTTGTTCCAGAAAGTCTGAGAACGTTCCATGCAGTGCAAGAAAGCATAGTACCATAATTCATAATGTGTAGACAGAGCAAAATAAATCAGCTCCAATCAATTATGAACATTATGAAACTCAAATATAGGAAGTTTGACAGGTCGAACACTCCCAGCGTATCTTGATGGGATTCAGCAAATGCTAGTCTCACCATTCCAAGACTAGTGAATCTGTTGAAAACGTATCCATTTTTTTTTTCAAATACTAAAAACAATATTTCAAATTCACCAAGCCTTCAACCTGTCACCAAGAAAGCACAAGCTGAAGAAAAAAAAAAAAATACTGGCTTGAATCAAAACAAGAAGTTTTTCATTTTGGGAAAACAAGATAATATTGTTCAATTGCTGCTCCTCATGTGTGAGCACAGGTATCTAAAAGTGTTTTCTTATACAAGTTTAAGCTTCTACTCAGCACATTCTGCGCAGTAGGACAACAAACAGGGCTGAAGTAGTTTGGTGTTCTTTTTTTTTTTAACAATCTCTGCAGATTATAACATTTTAAGCATTATATATTCCTTTCTTGAGCACACAAATGATCGTATCATCACGAGTTTCAGAACTTTTCAGGTAGACTGACATTAATTCTAAAATTCTCTTTAAAATGAAAATATGGATTCAAAATTCTGTCTGATCATGTTTCAAGACTTCAAAGGAGGATGTGGACCCATCAGACAATGTCTGTTCATCATCTGCCAGCTCAGAGTCTTCAGTGCCAGACCTGTCTCGACCAGAGTCAAGGGCAGATTTGCTTTCCTCCCCATCCTTGTCCTCAGAATCGTCATCATCATCTCCATCTTTGTCAGCAGAATCACCAGCTACAGAACTGTTCTGTGTGGTGTTTAGTAGAGACTCATCTCCGCCATCTGCCGTCACATGACCCTCACTCTCCAAAGTTGTCTGAGCAGCGTCACTGGTCATCGGTTCCTCACCGAGGGTTGAGTGGGAAGTGTTCAGCGTGGTCTCAAACTCGCTAGTGGGTTGGTCTCCGGCACCATCTTTCTCACACTCTGGGACAAAGAACTCATCTTGCTTGGACAGAGGAGCCATGAAGTGAACGCTCTCTCCATCGTAGTATTCTACAAATGGATATGCACACAATTTGTGCTCCTGAGAAAGAAATACAATAGTCCTTCACATAAAGACCGGGGAGCTGTGACATCTGATTGCTGTAATAGAAAAACTTACACGACAAGAAGAGCAGGGTCTGTTTTCTGCCAAAATTGGTCTTATTCGCTATAGCAGAAACAACAAGTCATCTTAACCTATATGTGAGGCATCTTAGAGAAATCAGGCGCTCGTCAACGTATTGAAACAGAAGAAAAAGAAATTTTCCCACCAGTATGGCAATTTGTATCGAAATTTTGTTTTTTGGCTAAACACCTTTTTATGTTCTTATGAAAACACATTTCCATATGTATTTTCATGAAAAATGTTTAAAGGCACAAAATATGTAATTTTAAGTTTTCAAGGACTCTTAAGCTATTGAAGTTACCAACTTTGGCGACCATTTTCCCATTAACTTTATAACTAAAACCAGGCTACCCCACCTCTTTCAATCGCAAATATCTCAACTTCTATTCAAGCTAGACGAATATTTTTTTGACTGGATGCAAGGCAAAAGGATAAGATTTCAGATGATAGAAATTTATTCCACATGCCCAAAAATTGACGAGCGCCCAATTCCACCACGTCATGACACATATTTCTTCTAATTTTGCTTTTATTAAGAAATATTCTCCTCTGCACATTCATTGGTCATGGTCAAACATTGACCAACAAACTATATAAGTATCAGAGTAAACATTTAGTAGCTCTTCAAAAACCTGTATTGAGCATTGAAAAAGACTGATCAAGTTATATTCAAACAGCACCATGCATCTACGCTAGTATGCCCCACATACTCTATTTCCACTGAGGCTCCTGCACATTCTAATACATTCTTTAATATCTCAAATGATGTTCCTAATGAGGAGTTACAAGGAAATGTTTCAGTTCTTACCTCAATGTACTCCTTCAGCTGTGGGTATGCTTTAAATATAGCAATAAGAATGGACAAAGATGTTACATGAGGGAACTTTGTTCGCACTGCATAGGCAACCTGCAAAACAGAAAAAGCAGCAGGGTATAGTAATCGGTACTGGGTATGGTCAGAACAGTTCATGAGCCTTTGCCAAAAAGTGGAGGTGTGTGCATGTGGAGGTTTAAAATAAACCACTAATCAAGGAAAAACATGTTGTTTTACTAAAAACATCATGTTTATGGCAATAAAATAAGTTAGTCAAGTTGCTCAAATAGATTTATTGATGTGTGCGTCTTATGATACTTAATAATAGAAATATAAAATCACTAAAAATGCAGCACTTTATACGTATCTTGGGCATCGGTTAAACATAGAATATTGTTAATTCTAAACTATAAAGAAAAGTGCAATCAAACATTAATAATAGTAGATAGCATTTTTATACCGTAAATCCCCGCTTAACAGCAAGCTCTATGCGTTTCACAATCTATACTATTACCCTGGCAGACATCAGAGCATTCTAAAACAGCATTCTAAAACAAACTCAACTTCCTGGGAAGCATACAGAGCAATCTTCCATTTATGGGTGCTTAAACACTAACATACTGACAACATCTTTCGCTGTCTATGGCCGGGTACCCATTCCCACCTGGATGACGTGAACGTTATTGCGTGAACATAGAAGAAGTGCTTGGTGATTTCTCGAAAGGGACTAGAAAAAGAGGCAAGAATTTGTTTGTAATACGGGTGGTCTTAATTTTATAAATGAATATTTTGTAACATGTAATTTACAGTTGTTTTGAAATATATATATATTTCAATATTACGTCCACTGAAAAATGTATTTGACCTTGCTTACAATCTGATGTTTTGATTTTTGTTATTAACATGTATGTATGCATTTCAATTGGTACTTTACTTTTGTAGTCATTGTTTTAGGAACGAACCATTTATTTGAATTCATATACACAGAAATATACTATGCGAGTCTCTTTGAAAGTCGTTTTCTATTTCACAAAATATAACCTCAGCCTGGCTGAAGAGAGGGGATTGACTCATTATAACAATTATAAATTTCTAACATCATTTTTATGAACGAAATTTTCACTATTACCATGTTGGCCAGAACTACAGCAAGACCATTTACAGCTTTGATAGTTATTGAACCTGTAAGAGCAATCATTATGCTACGAGACAATATGGATGATGAAACGAGTTAACTACATAAAGTACATTTTGGAGCTCATTTGTAAAACCCCAGTATCCTATCATTTGGCAAAGGCTCTACTTCTAGTCAAGACATGTATAACTTTATTTGAATGCTAGTCAATATACATATATATAGTGCTATTCTTTTATTTATGCACATTCCATTTAATTTCTCTTTCTACCTTCTCACCACATTTTAAGCATTACGGCAAAACAAATTCTTGTTACGGACTACAGCCTTCATGTATCTTCCTTCAAGTTACCTCAACATTTTTAGTCATTATATTATAAGCCACAATCTCATCATTACTGACTATTTTCACATCTCCCTGATTCATATTTCAACTGAAAATTGATAGAATTAAAGACAACTTTCTGTTGTTTGATCAGCTCAGTAGGAATGTTTTTACACAAAACAACAATTCTCTTTGTTTCTATCTAAGCATCTAAATATGTGGTCCAAAAAATAAATCTGATGACCTACATTTCCTTGATTACCATGATAAGCATAAATACTTAAAACCCCTTTACCATTCTGGTTATCAGCAAAGACAAGTACCATGTTCAAGACTATCACTGTTTGGACAAAACATTTCGTTGTATTTATCAAACTCAGGTAGACTTTTACCAAATTTCCACACAATGGTTTTCTTTTGAGTAATTCAGGAGCACACACACACACACACACACACACACACACACACACACACACACACACACACACACACACACACACACACACACACATTAAACAAATACAGTATAACACGGATAGATCGAACACAGAAGACTCGAAATCACGCATCCGTCAAACTGTGCCTGTGGTCCGTTTTTTTTTCTTCTTTATCTTTGTAAGATATCCCTTGAACTATGGATCCCACGAATTACCAAGGCCGGTCCGGAGGATATCGAGCTATCCATGCTTAACTGTACATCTACACACATTTATTGCACATGCACTGAATGACACAAGAAACCTATTGACCACAATATGGATTATATGATCAAACAACCACAAACCACTCAATTTATTTTAAAATACCCTTTCAATATACCAAGCAGTGGTAATAAAATTATTTTGCTGGATTTTGAGGACAGTATCTTTAGTGTCTAGAAATCCATTACAGGCTGAAACTAACTTGTTTTTCCAGCTCCCTTTACCCTTTTAAAGTGGATCAGAACCTACCTCTGGAAGATGCAGAATCTTGAAACCTTGCTCTGTGAATTTTTTGACTTCCTCTTCATTAATTTCACTTGAACCCTCTGACAAAACGGAGCCAACCACATAGCGAAGTTCTTTGGAGTCGACCTGTTGAGAAATCATTTAATATGTATCGTTAAAATCTCCTAAAGCATCACCTTTCGTCCAATTCTGTGACTTTCAGTTAATGTAACTCAGAAGCCCACTGGAGCTCCCCGGTTCAGGGCCATAGAGTTAAGTCGCCATTAAACAATTTTGATGAAGTCGGTTACGAAGTTCACATTTTTGTCAACTTAAAAAACGGTTTAGCTTCTTCCTCATCCTACACAGCAAACCATTACACTGATGCACTAAAAGCTCAAGGTTTCGAGATTTATTATTCGTTGAAATGGTTATTTTCTGTACTTTAGTTTTAGTTCTAGACAAGGGTTTGTAGAGTACCCAGTTCGTCCTATTTTCAGTTACATACGTTACGAATAAATGATTGTTTATTTAAAAATGGCTTGACAGATCTCTCCAAAATCTGTATTTGTCTAAGTATACAATGTCATTTACCATAAGAAATCTTGAATCAGCACAGGTAGTAATAGTCAAAGTTATAAGATAAAAAATATACACATCTGCATTTTTGACAAAATATGCTCAGTGTTGGATCATTCTTTACATGGAACACACAAGAGAAAGACACTTTGCATTTGTTCTTGAATTTTTTAATTATCATGCCGTGTCTATGGCAGAATGCGTTAAACTAAGAAAGACGCGAGTTTTAAAAAGCCAAAAACTGTGCAAATACAAGGGTACAGATTAAACTTCTAGTATGGAATGTAAACAATGACATCTAATACATTCAATCTTGGTTTTGTGCAAGAAATATGATAGGGCACATATGAAGTTGTAAAGAAACCAGAACGTGGTCAGTCTTTGCAAATGGTTGTAGAAACGGAAAGAAAAGCTGGAAAACTCTGGTGCTGATTCAGTGTCACTGGAAAGCTAACAATTATTCTAAAAACCAGGTTACTACAAGCTGACCCTGTTCGAGATCTTCGGTCCACTTATAAAATTGAGAGACCTAAGATTTCAAGAAAAGTAAGAAATATTGATGCTGTTCATTTATTAATATTAGTATTATGTTTTAGATTGGCACTAAATCAATTCGCACTTCTGCGAAGAAAGACCACAGCATAAATTTGTATAAACTTTCAAGAAAATATGCAGATATTCATGATTGCATTAACACATAAATTTGTATATGTGCCAGAATTACATGTGCAAGGTCTCAGAACAATTCTTAGCAAATTGCATGCAGGGGGATTAAGGTGCAGAAATACAGTTTTCTATCATCTGCACAGATAACATGATACAATTTTCTGAGTATCTCTATCTGTTATATGTCATTCATGTTCCAAAAGTTCCACAATTTTTGTCAAGCCATTACTTAAAATATATTGGGGGGGGGGGGGGGGGGGGGGTTCCTCACTTATCAAAAATTCACAATTTAGTACCTACTTCAGCCCATCATACGAAATAACCACACAAGATGCAATGTCCGTTCTTTTTTGTGTCTCAAGAGCAGAAATGTATGCTTCAGGTGCATTTAATGATAATAACCATAACATGTAGAAGAAGTCACCTAAAATTTTAATTTGAAAATTACCAAAAATCACGTCAGCCCAGCCAGAGTGGCCCCAGGGAGCTGACCATTGTGACCCAGACATGATTTAATAATAAAATTTAGGCGCTCCGCATGGATTCCCCTGCTGCACCTAAAATTCCACTGCTAGTGCCCCATGCTCCATGAGAGTGAGGTTCCCTTTTCAGGGTGCATCATGGGAGGCTGATTAAAAAAAACAATTATTATGATGATTCAATCTGAGAATACAAGACTTAAAGTAATATTGAGAGGTAAATTTTCACTTTGAGTACCGTACGCAAAGGTATAATACACTGCTTTTGGCTGGGGGCTGAACTGGGTGTTCTGGCATGAAGAAAATGTATAGAATCACTAAAATTATCATCAATCAATTGTTTTCAAGAAAACCACTAATTTTATGTGATTGCAAAACATCACATTTATAAATAC